GGATCCTTATGTTTTCAGCTTCCCCAATGCTGGGATTACAGGCGTGTGCCACCATGCCCAGACTCTGTCACCCGCTGAGTGCTTGCCAAGGCAGGCCCTTAGTCTGCTGAGCTATCTCTCTGGCCCTGAACCCAGGGCATTTACACTGAACTACTTCTACAACCATGTTTTGGATTCTTTGTTTATTCTTTTTTAAAATTATTGTTACTGGGGCTGGTGAGATGGCTCAGTGGTCTAAAGCACCTACTTAGAACAAGCTAAGCTAAGCAAAAGCACAGGGACCACAGTTCAATCCCCAGCACCACATGCCAGCCAGCCCCGCCCTCTGGTGGGCTGAACTGGCCACACACACACACACACACACACACACACAAATAAATAAATAAATAATTTTAAAAAAAAAAGAAAGAAATGGAATCCTGGGCCACCATCATCATACACACATGGAACACTTTATTTCTTGCCAGATTTCTAAATTTCACCTGTGGCCAGGGGGGCCCTTTCCCACAGCCTTTGTTTTTAACTCCTTAACTTTCATCTGCTCCTCCTTTTGCTTTTTTTTTTTTTTGCAGTATGCCGGGGGATTGAACTCAGGACCCTGAGCTTGCCAGCCAAGTGCTTATTCTACTGAACTATCTCCCCGGCCCCGTTTTGCTTCTGTTTGAATGCTCTGTCTTCCTTGTTCATCTTCTTGGCCTGTTTCTTGGGCTGCTTCAGGAGCTTCTTCTTGCCACCTTCACAGCCAGACATGGCACCTGCACCTATTTATTTATTTGAGCTAGAATCTGGCCATATAGTCCAGGCTGGCCTCAGATAGACAGTATTTCTCCTGTCTTGGCCTCCTAAATGCTGGGATTACAGACGTGCACCACCACACCTAAATTCACCTCTTTTTCACTTTAATTTACTAATTAATTTATTTTATTTAAAAAAGGGTCTACAGCATCTACCTGTGTACACTAGACTCATAGTGATTCTGTTTTCAGCCTCCCAAATGCTGGGATTACAGGTGTGCAACATCACGCCCACTCTCAATTGCTGTCTCAGCTTGCCCCGGGGACGGGACTGGCAAGGCAGGCCCGGGAATTGAACTCCCGGTACCTGTGCCTGCCGTTAGTCCGCTGAGCTATTTGGCTGGCCCTTTCCACCCCCTTTTTTAGATAGGTGTTTATGTCTTTTTTTTTTTTTTTTTTTTTTTTTTTTTTTTTGCAGAATTGGGGATTAAACTCAGGCCCTTGCACTTGCCAGGGAAGCACTTATTCCACTGAGCCATCTCCCTGGCCCCTTGGTCCTTCTTGTTGAGACAGGGTCTTGCTACCCTGTTCAGGCTGGCTTTGAATTCAATTTGTAGCCCAGGCTGGTCTTGAACTCCCAATAATCCTCCTGCCTCAGCCTCCCCAGTGCTAGGACTACAGGGATGCGTGACCACATCCAGCCAAAACAAGTGAAAATTGTTTTTTCAAAACAAGTGATTTTTTTTTTTTTTCCAGAACCGGGGATTGAATTCAGGCCCTTGCACTTGCCAAGCAAGAGCTTATTCTACTGAGCTATTTCCCGGCCCCCAACAAGTGAATTTCTAAGACGGAAAAAGATTAAGTTTTGGGATGGTTACCATGAGAATAATTAATATTATTGTACATATTTAGGACAAGAACTACAGGGTCTCATTACGTTGATTGGACTCATAGTGATTGTCCTGTTTTCAGCCTCCCAAGCACTAGGACTACAGGTGTGTGCCACCATGCCCGGTCTCAACTGCAGTCTCAGTATGCCTCTTGGGTGGTGCAGCAGGGCATGCCTGGGATGCAACCCTGGCTGCAGCAGTCTGCCTAAGCAGGTGCTTTAGTCTGCTAAGCTATTGGGGGCTGGCCCTAAATTTTTTTTTTTAAATGGTTGAAAAATTTTTTTTTGAAATTTTATTTATTTATTTATTTATGTATGTGTGTGTGTGTGTGTGTGTGTGTGTGTGTGTGGCCAGCTCAGCCCACCAGGGGGCAGGGCTGGCTGGCATGTGGTGCTGGGGGATTGAACCGTGTTCCCTGTGCTTTGCTAAGCTTGTTCTAAATAGGTGCTTTAGACCACTGAGCCATCTCACCAGCCCGTAAATGGTTGAAAATTGCACAAAGTTTGTTTTTTTTTTTTTTTTTTCCCCTAATGTATTTGGTACAGGTTCTCACTGCACAGCTCAGACTCATGGTGATCCTCCTGTTTACAGCCTTCCAAGCCTGGGATTACAGGCGTGTACCACCACACCTGGTCTTGGTGGCCGGAATGGCTTGTGGTACAGGGGCCAGCTCAGTGTGTCTAGGGGCAGCATATGGTGTCAGGAATCCAATCCCAGTCCCTGAGCTTGCCTAAATAGGTGCTTAGAGCTTAAGAAAAATAAAATCCTTCTCAACTTTTTGGGGGCTTGTGGGATAACTCAGTTGTTTAAGTGCCTGCTTAGGGAGACCCAATCAGGAACAGGGGACCACTGTTCCATCCTCAGCTCCACATGCCTTACCAGACCTGCCCTGAAGGTCTGGTAAAAAAAAAAATCCTAACCAGGTGTTTAGTCTGCTGACATGTTCACAAGACAATCTTAAATGAAAAGGAGACAGAACCACTTATACAGGTGGGGATCCAGCTTGATCTGACTGTAGCCACCTTGTGTTATAACCACTGTGAGTGCCCTCGAGTCACCCTGGTCTACCAGCACCACCACCACCATGGTTTCCCAGTGTACTAGAAACAGAACAGTAAAAGTGGTACACAGAGCTGCGGGACCCACTGGATTCTCCTGGGATCAGCGCCAGGAATGTGCCTGACATCCTTGATGGCAGCTTGAGATAACCCAGATGCACTCCAGCTTGGATGAGGGCACTTTCATCCTCGTCACTAGGTAAACCCTGTCCCTGTGACCTAAATATCAGGAATCCACTATTGCATCAAAAGGTAGGAAAAGGGGCCAGGAAGATGGCTCAGTGGAATAAGTGCTTCCCTGGCAAGCGCAAGGGCCTGAGTTCAATCCCC